AAAGAAAGAAAGAGGTTTTCAAATTAGGTAAGAGAGTTGTACAATTATAAAAACTTCAAAATACCCATCTAACCCTAATTATATGAAATTAAAGAAACTCTAAATACAGATGACATGCAACTTCATCATATATTGTTAAATCTGATAATTAAAGTTATAAATAAGAAAAAGATATCTCATGTGAGTTACAAATGGACAATCACATGAATCTGAAGTATTTCCTTGTCTCAGAAATGAGTACAACAAAATTTAAAAAAGCAAATATTATAATAAGAACTGTCATACAAACCTAAAGACTTAAACATCATCAGGAAAGGAAACAGTACGTTGCTTTGCAGAAGTAGCTAGGAACAACAGAATACAGGAAAAGGGAAGCAGAGAACATTCCAGCACCACACTACGACCTTCATTCTCTTCAAGGTTAGTGGTCTATGTTTGACCACCTCCCCATTACACCCAGTCTGGGCACTTTCATTCACATCCTTGGCCCACCGACCGATGACAAGTAATAAATTTTACCTCTCTATCTCCAGTCACAATCTGTCACCTGAGTATCAGAGGAATATGTATTTCAGAACATCTTCACCTGACTGTCCCATCAGAATTTTTAACACAAAAACGAATGATAATGAAGTCATCTGACACTGCCCCCTCTGTATACACACACACACACACCCCTATTCTGGTTATTGGTATCATATTCCAAAACTTAAGAGTCATCCATTCTATTTCCTCCCCTCTAACTAATCTTGTATTGGTCACAAACTCAAGTTCTAGTCTACTGTAAACAAGGGAACACAAGAATCCATACTCTCCATCCTCAACAGCTCTGTCTTGGTCCAGTTACACAAATATATTAGGGTTGTTGGTTACATTTTATATATATATCTAATATATATATATATAATATATTAAATTATATTGTATTAACATTTATATTATAGTTATATTAATATAAATTAAATAAATGTCTTATATAAATATATAAACACTATATATTTAAATATATTGTATTAATATTTATGTATTTATATTTGACATAAATTAATATTTATAAATGTTATATATATATAAACATATAAGTTACATTAATATGTATTATATATATATTAGGGTTTATACAGAGTTCTGTAAAACTTTTTTTTAATCTTACAGAAAAACTCAAGCTAACTTTTTTTTTCCAACTCATATTTGGGATTACTACATCTCTCCTAAAAGCTCTCCCTGCCTTCAATCTGGCTTAATTCTTCAATCATTCCTTTCTATTCCTGTTGAAATGGTCTTTCTAGAATATAATTTGAATCATTTTTACCACCACTGCTTACAATCTTTCAATGACTCAAAATAAAAGACCTAAAATCCTTAGAAGAATATCCTGTTTCTTGTCACCACTTTAGCTTTAATCTCTTTCTAAGCTCCCATATAAGACACTAAATTCTGATTACTGCAGATCCTGGAAAAAGTCATACTGTTTCTTACCTCAATACCTCTGCATATGTTATTTCCACTTTCCCAGGGTCTTTTTTTTTGACAAGGCAACTCTGACTTGCCCAAATGTCCTCTCATACATTTCATGTGGCCTCAACTTCCATTCCTTCTTTGGTTCCACAGCATTTTAACAGACACCCTTCTGTACTATAAACGTCTATTAACTTGAAACTTGGATACCATAAAAGTGAAATACATATATTATTCATTTTTGTGTCAAACAATGCTAGCACTCTGCCTCGCACTAAGTGATCAATAACTAAAGAATGTTTAAGAATTTTTGCTTTTTCCAGAAACTTTCACTATAAGCCTTACCCAGAGACACAGAACAAAGCAGCTACTTAAGGAAAACAACAGAAATCAGGCAAGAAAGCAGTAAGTGGGGCCTAAAAAATGAAAAATTAAATACACTTTTCAAAGCCTTTCCTGAGAAATGTCTCACATTCTAACACAAACGTGTCATACTTGCTATTTAATGTTCAGTGTTTATTCTGATTTCCAAGAATATTAGTGGTAAAAAGTTGTTCTCTCCGCAACTGGGTCAGCACAGAAAGAAAAATGGGAAGTATTACCTAAATCAGCTATTCTTCAAAAGCGAGCATAGTTAGAATTTTTAAAGTTCTATAATAAGAACCCCACCTGATCTACCCAACCCTAATTCCACTCTTTACAGAGTTGTCTCTTAAAAGACTTGGGAGTAGGACTACAATGGATATTTTACTAACCAGTTATCATTCTCCATAGAATCCCAACATATTTTCCTGAACTTAACATTTTTTTCTTTTATGGTAAGGAATTAACATAAATTCATTACTTTACAAATATGCATTTGTAAATATACATTTGTATCCTTAAAATAAAATGAAATACTTTCCTCTTACCATCCCTCAAATGGTCCGTGAACAGAAATTTGCCCAGTTGAACTCGCTCTAATATTTATAACAGTTTTCTGGGATCAGAGACGGGAATAGAGAACTCTCCTCCCAATACTGAGCCCCTCTAGCATTCCTGATCCTTCCCCTTTCTCTTCTCCAGTAGTACCCACACCCAACTTTGCTCTTTAAAACAAATTCCGGTTCATAAGTAATTTCAGAAGTGTGTGAAAGAATCCCAGAGACCAAATGCCACACAGCACTGGAATAAATTTTTTTTTTTAAAGCTGAATTCTTGACACCAAGTCTAATGGGTTGATCAACAGTGCTTTTTTTTCTTTAGTTTTTTTAAAATGTCTATTCTTATTAATGTCTCTAGCCTATTATCGGGCTTCCCTGATAGCCCAGTTGGTTTAAAAAAAAAAAAAATCCACCTACAATGCAGGAGACCCTGGTTCAATCCCTGGGTTGGGAAGATATGCTGGAGAAGGGAAAGGCTATCCACTCCAGTGTACTGGCCTGGAGAACTCCACAGACTGTATAGTTCATGGGGTCGCAAAGAGTCGGACACTTCTAAGCAACTTTCACTTTCAGCCTATTGGTATTCTGGGTTCCTATTCTTTCCCTAAAATGTTTCTCAGTTTTTATGCTTTAGGACCTCCCAAAATGCCCTTATTTCTTCCCAACATAGAGCTAAACTCCTGGTCCTGCCACAAACTGATCTGGCTTAAAAGATGTCACTTATATTCACATACACTAATTTAGAGCTGTTTGAGTGTGTGCTCAGTCGGGTCCCAGTCTTTGCAACGCAAAGTACCGTAGCCTGCCAGGCTCCTCTGTCCACAGCGTTCTCTAGGCAAGAATACTGGAGCAGGTGGCCATTTCCTCCTCTAGGGGATCTTCCCCACCCAGGTATCCAGTTCATCTCTCATGTACTGCCTGCACTGGCAGGTGGTTTTGTTTTTTGTTTTTTTTAACCACTGAGCCACTTGGGAGGCCCTAATTTAGAGGTGCATATTGTAAATACTGTTATTATTGTGCAGATGAGATAATAAAACTAGGAAAAGCGATATAACATTTAATAAATGCCAGTACTTTAATTTGAATCTAGTTCTTCTGACTTCAACATTAAGTTACCATATTAAAAGAAAGCAGTCTGCATTTAAAAAGATTCAACTTCCCTGGCTCTAGGCGACCTCATTACATCTAATACATATAATTTTTAGGCAAATTCTACATTTCACCCTCGTCCTAAATGTCCCTCTTGAAGGCATCAATGAGGCTTGTACAGCCAAAAATTTTGCGACTCAGTTAAAAAGTTCTGTGTTCACCCTAATGTACACCCTTTTGGCATTTTTTTTAAAAAGAGCCTTCAGTAGTTTCTGCAGTCATCAAATTTTTAGGGTAAGAAATTGCTTAACTCGGTTCTTCAACCAACATTTCTACCTGCTTTCAAATACCTGTCCCTTTAATAGTCAATTCCACTCCTTCCTTGCTATTTGCAAATCGTATCTGGGGGTAATCCTACCTGGCTCCCAACCCCACGAAATACTCCAAATACTCTGGGGGCTTCGCTGGTGGCTCAGTGGTAAAGAATCCGCCGGCTAATACAGGAGACACGGTTCAATCTCTGACTGGGTAAGATCCCACATGCCAGGGAGCATTTAAGCCCGTGGGCCACAGCTACTGAGCCTGCACTCCGGGGTCCAGGAGCCGGAACTACTGAACCCACCTGCCGACAACTACCAAGCCCGCGTGCCTGGAGCCCGAGCCCCCCACCAAGAGACGGCACGGCACTCAAGCCCACGCACTGCAACTAGGGGGCAGCCCTCGCTGGCCACAACTACAGAAACACCCGCGCAGCAACGAAGACCAGCATGGCAAAAAAATTATTTAAAAATATATACTCTGAATATCTTCTGACTTCACTCAAAAAAAAGGAAGGGAAATCAAAGGAGCTAATGCCTCTGTCTGCTTAAGATCTAGTGCAATGCTGCAAATTAAAAAAGTAACGTGACTCCGTGAAACGAAGTACACGATTACGAAGAAACCAACTTTCACCTGACTTAACTCTGCCCAGCATTTTTGCCCACCGCTTGTAATACACCTCAGGCTTTTCCAATTTCTGTCATCAGTCATGATATGAGAATATTAAGATCCAACAAACAGCACTGGGATTTTTAAAATGGTGATTACAGAAACAAGCCTCTAAAATTCTGAAAACTAGCAAGGAGAAAACTATGATCAACAGGCGCTTACTAAGTGCAAGGTACTGGAGGGGGCAAAAGGCTGCCAAACGGGAAGCTCTTTAAAAACTTGACGGTGACTTAGGCAATTTTGTAACCTCCATCCTCACCCCTCCAGCGACAGGCAAAAGTCGACTGAATTTGACGCGCTGGTGTATGGGATGTGCTGCGGCGACGACCCGTGGGATAAAGAGACCGGCTTGGGATGTAACTTTGGAAGGTATTGTTTAAATGGCTCTGCGCTGTTCAGTTCAAACGAAACAGGCTGCCGCTCCGTCCGAGCTTGCGTGGAGCCCGGGAGACCAGCCAGGTCAGGCGGTCTCGCCTAACTACAAACCGGGACACCTCTGAGGGACCCCAAAGGTCTGGGGCGATGAAAACCAGAGTTACTTGCCTCCCATTCCTGCAGGAATCGCTCGGCCTCTTTAGAACCAGCGGTCTTGTGCCTCCTAAATTCGTCCTTCACGTACTGGTCGCCAAGGTCTTTGAGGTCTGGGGGCAGAACCCGGTGCAGCAGCAAAATGCGCCGATACAAGGCCCGGACACGCGAGACGTGCAGCGCAGACATAACACCGCGCGTGGAGCTCAGGCCGCGCCTGCGCAGAAGGTCAGCGCCCGCTTGCCTCTCTTTCCAAGCCGGATATAAGTAACCCGAACACAAGCGGAAGAGGGCACGCGACCTTCATCCGGTTTGGTCCGTTCTAATATGAGGACCTTCCTGAAACACGCAAGGGAGAGGCGGCGGCGGCGGCGGCGGGTACGGGCCGGTCCTCCTTCCAAAGGGGCGTGGCTTTCGTGGAGAGCTTGGGATGCTACTACTCAAGGACCCAGTCCCGAGCCGAGGGGTCCTCCACCAAGAGTCTGACCTGGACCGCTTGTCACCCCTCAGTTACACTCCATCATCTTTTACATTAATCTTACCCCTTTCTCTAAAAGCCGTCGTCAAAACCGGGCTCCTCCAGGTAGCCTTCCAAGCCTTAAATTCAAGCCATTTACGGTGTCTTACAGTGTTCCTGCCTTCAGGCGAATCTCTTCCTCCACAAGCCCAACCACCTACGTACCTTGCACAGTCTTGTGCTCCTAATTTGTGCCCCGAAGGAGGGGATTCTTTCCTGTAACTCAAGTGAGATCTAAGCCAGCAGGTAGCAACCCTTAGCTGTAGTCAGGTGGGCTGAAGGAGAATCATTAGGGAACCTTTCCAACGTATTGTTTCCAAAGCCATGATACTGGAGATTATGATTAAATAGTCTGAGAGGAAAATGTAGAATCAGAACGTACACACATCTTCACCTTTTACAAAAGCGATAATCAAATCTGAACCAATCAAAGCTGGCAGAAATTTGGCCTCGTTCTTTCTATCCCATCACGTTTGGTCCTTCAACAAACTCTGATGGCTCCACCAACAAAATGTACGCAGAATTCGATCATTTCTCACTAGTCTCTCCACCACTATGGTCTCTATTTATTGGATATGGTAGTCACTTTTTGTGTTTCTGCTTCTGCCATGATCAACTTTGGTCATCAGTCAGTTCAGTTCAGTTGCTCAGTCGTTTCTGACTCTTTGTGACCCCATGAACTGCAGCATGCCAGGCTTCCCTGTCCATCACCAACTCCTGGAGCTTGCTCAAACTCATGTCCAGCCAGTCGGTGATGCTATCCAACTATCTCATTCCCTGTCCTCCCCTTCTCCTCCTGCTTTCAATCTTTCCCAGCATCAGGGTCTTTTCCAATGAGTCAATTCTTTGCATCAGGTGGCCAAAGTTATTGGAGTTTCAGCTTCAGCATCAGTCCTTCCAATAAATATTCAGGACTGATTTCCTTTAGGATGGACTGGTTTGATCTTTGGTCATAATCCACCTAAATGGTAATGGCCTCTGCTATGTGTAGTACCTGGCTGTCCCTTGCTGGTTCCCATCACTCTGACCACACCTTTTCACATAGCTTTTTATTACATTATTTCTAGGTTAAAGAAAAAAAATCATGTCACTCGTCTGCTCACCAAAATCCTCTAGTGGCTTCTCATCAGAGTAAAACCCCAAGTCTTTACATTTCTTAGCTCTCTAAATTTTCTCCTGCTGCTCTCTCCCTAGTCGGCCAATTCCAGCCACATGATCTTTATGCCCCCAATTCATCTTTGAACAGTCCAGGCACAATCCCAACTGAGTGTCTTGATATTTGCTCTTCCATCTGCTTGGAGCGTTCTGCCACAGGCATCTTCTTGGCTAGCACCTTTATTTCATTCAACTTGATAGTCAGGAAGTTAGCTGGGCACCAGCGAGCCTGTTGCACCCTCAATCAGCGGTCCAATAGCCGCCCAATCTCACCAAGCAATTTACCAGCCTGGCCCCTTCTACACCCCCACCAGTACTCTGAAATTAGTCAGTGCACCCTAAGTAGCTTCAGTCATGTCCCATTCTTTGTGACCCCATGAACTGTAGCCCGCCAGGCTCCTTTATCCATGGGATTCTCCAGGCAAGAATACTGGAGTGGGTTGCCATGCCCTCCTCCAGGGGATCCTCCCCACCCAGGGATTGAACCTGCATCACTTACATCTCCTGCATTGTCAGGCAGGTTCTTTACCACTCTTGCCACACGAGGGGCCCAGTAAAAAATTTTTAAAAACTCACTAGAGACTGCCGGGACTTTCCTACTCTGGCACATACGCTCACCTCGGTACTATCCTGTACTAAAGTAACCTTTGGCAGCCACTGGACTGTTTAACCACTCATAAGTATTCCATGAATGCATACATTTAATTATGACCTTTATGGGACGTGCATGATAGCGCATCTTTTTATATAACCTGCAGCTGTCAATCAAGACTGTCAATCAATGACCCCCTCTGGATTGTGCAAATGATTCTGCCTTAAAGACTCGACTCCAGACCTCTGGGGCCATTTGCCTTCCTTGGTGTGGCCCACTTCTCTCTTGAGTCGTCCGCTCCTTTGGCTGTGCTCAAGTTGCTCAATCATATCCAATTCCTTGCCACCTGGTCTTTCTTTCCTTATGGTTAATAAACTTCCTTGCAACAGGTAAGACCTGAGATTCTTCTTTGCTTCCCTACCAAGAAGTGAGGTCCACAGGAGAAATGATCTCTATAGTCTTCTACTAACAAGCTCATTACTTCAGGTCTGGTTCTGATGAGACCCTCCCTGGCAACCATATTTGATATTGCTGCCACATCATGCAAAAACCTCTCTAAGCCCCTCTCGGCTTTATTTTTCTTTATGCTGCTGCTGCTGCTAAGTCACTTCAGCCATGTCCGACTGTAGCCCATCAGGCTCCTCTGTCCTTGGGGATTCTCCAGGCAAGAATACTGGAGCGGGTTGCCATGCCCTCCCCTCCAGGGGATCTTCCCGACCCAGGGATCAAACCCCAGTCTCCTGCCTTGCAGACAGATTCTTACCACTGAGCCACCAGGGAAGCCCTATTTTTCTCTATAACACTTAGATATTTTACTTGTTCACTTATTGCCTGCCCTCCCCCTTGCCGCCACTAGATTACAGATTCCAGCAGGGCAGGGATTTTGTGACTCTAAGTGTGTGAGTGACTTAAATGACCTGCTGGTGATGAAGGGGCAAGAGTGGGGGGAAATTTATGTGATTCCCTCCCAGATTCCAGAGTTTTGTTTATGCAAAGACTTTTGAAAGACAAAATGACACACATCTCTCTTCCAAAGCCAAGGGTGTACTCATTTTAGTATTCTTTTCAGGCCCCATGGCAGCAGTGCCTTACAATAGTAAGCACTCTAACATTTATTACCTTGAATGGACTTTTTCCTTTTGCTTAAATTTTGGAAAAATATTTGTTTAAAATAGCACAGAAAAAATTTTTAAATGGATTTAATTTGGTTTTTTGACAAACCACATTCATGGCAAGGATTGAATGGCAGCATGGTTATTTTACTTCAGGAAATTTTTTCTAACCATACTTCATCTCCTAATATCCCTGTAAATTAAAAATTAATTTATTGTTCCAGTTTACTTTTTTTCTGGTTTCCTTTGGGGTTAAAGTACATGTATAATAAATACTTCTATCAGAGCCAAAGCTCTTATAAAAATGTGGGGAAAATTCTGCCAATAAATTAATAAAAAATAACAATAAAAGAATTAATTCAGCATAAAGGGAGCAGAAAAGGTCCAGAAAGCTTTGGGCAATCAGTACTCAAAAATGGCAAATGATGGGTAAGAGAGAAGCCAAGACGTAATGGTGTGGTTAGGACTTGAGGAAAAGAATCCAGAATAACAGTAAGAATAATAGTATATGACCTTTAATTTTTATGGTGGGCTGGACAGTGAGTTATGTTTTGAGGACAAAATTTTCTGTTTCTTTCACCTTCCAGTTTAGGCTGACCAGTTTTCCTTTTGTGGTCAAAATAGCTATGAACTAAAACTAAGATCTGAGTTCTATTCCTGGCCACTAATCCAGATAAGTACACTTCATGCAAACCTTTCCTTATCCTTCCTCCATGTATTCTGTTTTCCTCTGTGTTACTCGGCAAGTCACTCAACCACTCTGGGCCTAGATTTTCTCATGTGTCAAAGTGGGGTTAGGTTAATTCTCAGGTTTCAACTCTGTTAGTCTAATCATCATTTCTACCCATTCCCCTCCAATTTTTTTTTTGCAAAAGTAGAAGCAGATAGGGCTTCCCTGGTGGCTCAGATGGTAAAGAATCTCCCTGCAATGCAGGAGACCTGGATTCGATCCCTGGGTCGGAAGATCCTCTAGAGGAAGGCATGGCAACCCACTCCAGTATTCTTGCCTGGAGAATCCCCATGGACAGAAGAGCCTGGTGGGCTACAGTCCATGGGGTCACAAAGAGTTGGACACGACTGAGCGACTCAGCACACAGAAGCAGATATGTAACCCACTCTGAAATAACTGGGTTGAAAAGATTTTTATTAAAAACAAAGGGAAAATTCCTCAAAACTCAAATCAAAGAGGTTTCCATATTTTCCTTTACGGAGGTGTAATTGACAAAGAAAAATCAGGAGGGGAAATTGCTTTTGGAAACACATTTTACTTTAGTCATACTGAGTTAGCAGGGACAGCCTATGTTAAAAGAGCATTGAACAAGTTACCTAATAGTAACAGTGTAACTTATCAGGGCTTCCCAAGTGGCTCAGTGGTAAAGACTCTGCCTGCCAATGCAGGAGACCCGGGTTCAAACCCTAGGTGGGGAAGACCCTCTGCAGTAGGAAATGGCAACCCACTCCAGTATTCTTTCCTGGAAAATCCCATGGACAGAGGAGCCTGGCAGGCTACTGTCCGAGGGATCGCAAAGAGTCAGACAACACTGAGCAACTAAGCACAGACACACAAATTGCCATTCACCTAAGTCAGTGATTTTTAACTTTGGCTGTATATTACAGTTACTAGGGGGAAATGGTTTTAAAAAATCTGATAATAGGGCCCCACTACAAACCACTTGAATCAGAACTCTGCGAGTGGGAAGAGGCATTGCTTTTGCTTAGAAGCCCCTCCAAGTGAGTCTAATGTGCAGCCAGGATTGAGAACCAGTGGTCTAAATTTCCAACGTGGAGACACTTGGGTTCTAGGAAGAGTATT